ATGGAATATGGAAATGCTATTGATCTTGAGCAAGTGGTCATATTAGCATCCTCTTTCGCGGACGGCCCGCGCCAAATGCGCAAGTACACTCATAACCTATGTTAGAGCGTGTGGGCCATCTGCTCTGCTCGTGACGTTTACGTAAGACGGCATGAGTAGAAATCGCAAGAGAAACTTTTTGTGGTAGAGCGCCTTCTGACTGCCATGCCATCACGCAAAAGTCTTCAGACAGAAGCTCACGAACCTCGTGGACTTACTGAACAAAAGCCTCGTCTATGAAGACACTCGTTAGTGGATGTGACCGTGGAATGGCAGGAATGCGGTTTCCCGCCTTCACAGTTGAAAAAAAGAGACTTTTTCGATTTCGTCCGAAAAAAATATGATCTATGAGCAATACGGACCATTCAAACCGAGGTCGCCTTGCGCGAAGGCAAGTGTACCAGAGTGCCCCCCCCCCCCCCGGCAACTGATCTGCGACTTTCGAGCGAGAAGTGATGGCTATCCTCTATGCAGAAAGCGACACCCTGATGATGGAGGACGTACCGCCGTCAAGTGAAAGTGGACCAATGAACCGTTGAAGTAACGGTGGACAACAACTGGGTTGTGCCATAAACTTCCTTACTATCGAAAAGGTTTCGTACACATATCTGTGGTCTGTAACACGGTCGACTCGATTGAGTACGTCTGCAAATATGTGAACAAAGGAAGTCACATGGTACATAAGCAGCAACGAGGCAATTTGTAGTTTGGGTTTACACATCAACATTACCCACATGTCACCCATCCACATGTCCATCTAGAGAACGGACAACGCATCTACTTTACAGCTGATAATGCGCGGCAATGAGCTGCGAAACCACCTCAAACAACTTTGACGGCATTCTTCCCTCCTGTGCCAACAGGATCTGTTTGCATGGACTTTGTTGCAAACAGAAGTTTTATAATATTTTACAATCTCAAGTTTTTTCTATCGTATTCGTATTTCTCGATTTATCGTGTTTGCTAATCATGTTTTGCTGGCTTGTCACCCACTTTCGGATGAGCAACGCACTGCTCTTTGGGACCGTAGAAAGCGTTTCATGCATGGCTTTCCCAGAATAAGACAGGTGTTTTCAAGCGTCGGTAGTGTCAGGTTGGCGGATACTTGGCAGGAAACAATCACAGGCGTTTTGGATAGCCCGTAAAAGTAGCAGTGGCATTCCCCAATGCCAATCACTTGACCTCCCTTGACCAAATAGAAATTTTTTTCCTTGACACCTGAGGCCCTTATTCACTGTTTGTTTTGTTCTGCTGAAGGTGACAGGTTAGTCTATCTTACTCTAGCAATGCTTTCATTAGTCACACAGGCTTTGGCACACGTTTACATGCATGAGATAAAAATAAAAATAAATAAATATAAATATCATAACTTATAATAACGGGCTAAGGGTTGTTTACGTTTGTGTGTGTGTGTGTGTGTGTGTGTGTGTGTGTGTGTGTGTGTGTGTGTGTGTGTGTGTGTGTGTGTGTGTGTGTGTGTGTGTGTGTCTGTCTGTCTGTCTGTCCGTCCGTTACGAAATTCGTAGGGAGAGTTCCAGCCAACCTCTTGAGCCCAAATTTTGCATAGCACATCCTAGCAGCAGAAAAGTCCATTGTGCAAAAGTACAAGCGGGTCCGATAAGTGGATCCCCTAGAAATTGCGCATGAAACGGGTCCACTTAACTTCTAACCAGCAGAATTGGGTCCGTATATAAACTTTTTGCAAAGTCGTGGATATGTTTGACAAGCTAATGTACAAGCCATGGACTTTGGCCCCAAAAATTCAACTAAAGTTGGCTACTATACGAAGATGGCGCCAAAAAGAATTAGTTGCGTAAATGTTCAGTTTCCCAAGATTTTACGTAATCATTTGAGAAGATTTTTGCACAGAGATGTAGCCCACGATGATTATTGCCGTTATGGCGACTACCAAACCATAAAAAGTCCACAAACCTATTTAAATTTGCATTTATTCTTCTGAGAAGAGTTTCATCCACGTGAAAATACCGATCTCAAACAAAAAAGCTCTAGGAATGAGTAGCTGTTTACAAATCATTCGTGATACCCTGCATAACGCGGTGACTTTCAATGTCACTATTATGCGGGAAAGGCAGTAAGGCATACAGAAAGTAGGGCCAGTGCGAGCCTCCGCTCAATCTCTGTAAATTTGTTCGTATGTAAGTATGTGGCGTATAGACTCCTTTGTTTCTGAACCGATGAGGCTAAAATTTGCTCCCCTATAAATGAGGCCAGGCGCAAAAAGGCTACTTTTGCGACGATTCACTGGGCCCTTCAATCGATTTATTGATTTGTTTACTTACATCGAGCGTTCACCAACCATTGTTGAATCATTTCCCCCACAGTCATGTAAGTTGGGCGGTGAAGTTCATTTACATTTTTCGGCCACAAGGATCCGGTATTTCAAGTCAGCAAGAAGGAGTCACCTCTCGCGGCAATGTGAAGCCCGGGCGGGACCGGGTGCCCCATCTAGTGACTTATAATAACGGGCTAAGGGTTGTTTACGTTTGTCTGTGTGTGTGTGAATCTCTGTCTGTCACAAAGTTCGTAGAGCGACTTCCAATAAATGTCTTGAGCTAGAAATTTGGTAGTAGCACCCCTTCAGCATGTAGGTAATGTGTGCAAAAACACAAGCCGATCCGATAATTAGAACCTGTGAAAACTGAGCGCCAAAGGATCTACGCGACTTTTGGCGCGCCAAAGCCGGCCTGTATTTGAACTTTTTCCGAAGTCATGGATTTCTTTAACAAGTAGATCCGCAAACCATAGACTCCGTCCCAAAAATTGAACAAAAATTCTACTTTCATGCAAAGCAGTGGCGTACCCAGGATTTCGGCTCGGGGGGGGGGGGGGCGCGACAAAAAAATTTTCTAATGATGGTGCGTGGCGTTAGCCACGCACTCCGAAAAATTTTTTGGGATGCTTGTCAAATTTTTTGCGGGTCCCCGACCCCTAAAATCCGGAAAAAGGGGGCGTGGCGTCAGCCACGCCCCCGAAAAAAATTTTTTTACAAGGCTAATTTGATTTTTTAAAAATTTTTAAAAATTATTTTAATTATTTACAAAAATAAACAAGTCACTTGCACATTTTTACAGCCCATATAAGTAGCTTTCAAAAATTTCGCGACCCATTCTCGGGGGGGGGGGCGCCCCCCCCCCGCCCCCCCCCCCTCGGTACGCCACTGATGCAAAGCTGGCGCCAAAAAGGGATGATTGCGCAGATAATCGATTTGTCGAGGTTTTACCCAAGATTTAGAGAAGATTTTTGTTCAGAGATGTAGCTCACGGTTGTCATCATCCTTCTGCGACTATCAAGTCATTATAACAACTCCAGTAGCTGATTGAAACTCGCATTTGAACTTTGGAGAAGACTTTTTCTCCCCGAAGTCACCGATCATAGACGAAAAAGCTTTTGGAATGAGTAATTGTTTACAATTCATTTGTAATGATCGGCATCGCGCGGTAGGTTTCAAAGCCGTCATTTTGCGACTACGAGCAAAGATGAGGATACTAGAACCATTGCAAGCCTCTGCGAAGTAGAGGTGACGCACTGGTGTGTATATATACCCGGCTCCGTCCGGGTATCATGACTTAGGCCCCGGGCAGACTTCACGCGATTTGATCGTCGCGACTGAGTCGCGACGAGACAACTGTTACAACATCATTCCATGCCGATCAACTTGCATTCGGTTGTGATACTTTTCCAGCCCGAAATTTTTGAATGTGAAATGAAAGTGAATGGAAATCTTGGCGATTAGATCGCGACGATTAAGTCGCGTGAAGTCTGTCCGGGGCCTTATAGTAAAGCGCTAAAGTCTGTCTTTTTGTGCATGTGTGTATGTTTGTCTGTCACAAAATTCATAGAGGGAGCTGCAGCCAAGCTTTCGAGCTACAATTTTGCATATTACACTGTATCAGCATGTAGACTATGTACAAGGACGAGCCGTTTCTATAAGCGGGTCCTTCAAAATTTGCGCGTCATACGGGTCCACGCGGCTTTTGGCTCGCGGAACTAGGTCGCCAAGGCGACTTTTTTGCAAAGTCATGATTTGCCTGACAAGTAAATCTGCGCCCCATAAGTTCTAGCCCAAAAGTGCTTAAAAGTTTGCTTACATGCGAAAACAGCACCAAAAAGTAGTGATCGCCTAAATAGTCGATTTGGCAAAGCTTTACCTCAAAATGAAGGGAATTTTGCAAGGAAATGTAGCCCAAGGTGACTACTATCCTTATGACTATCAAACTAAATGAAGATGCTCCTTTGCAAAAAAGTTTTCTTTTTCAAAATACTGATTTTATATGGAGATGCTTCGAAAGTGAAAATTGTTTACAATTCATTTGTGATGTTCAATATCGCACGGTGAGTTTCAAAGTCGTCCTTATGCGAGCACGAGAAAAGCATACGGATAGCAGAGCCACTCCAAACCTCCGCGATGCGAGGTGACGCACTGTTGGCATTTTTGCGCTGACTATATAGGGCATTTTGACACTGACTATCATACTCACTCATAGCGCAGCTGCAGCGCAGTACTGTGGCCGTACTCATTATTGATACCTTGAGGTAAATTCTACCTCCAGGTAGTTTTATCACTCATTATCAGCAAGTACCCGTATTCACAAAGTACTGAGGTAAATTCTCAATGTAATTTTGCTGATAATGAGTGATAAAACTACCTGGAGGTAGAATTTACCTTAAGGTATCAATGATAAATACTGCCACTGATTGTTTGGTCTCTATGTCCCGATCTGGCAAGGCTGGAGTCAGGCTTTCAACATCTAGTCTGCCACTCCATCATGTAGTTAAAATAAACCTATTGCCATACAGGACTTTTGAGCGGGAAGTTCTCAAAGTCTCGATCTTTCATGAAGCCCTGATAAAGGCGAACGAAGCGCGGGACGCTGGCTTTCGTATGATAAAGTCCTGCTACCAACCTTGGTCGGCAGCTTATAGACTGTGCTAGAACAATCACAATGCCAAGGTTTATCGACAATCGAGTATGAGATATCAATGTCCCAATGGTTTGAGTTTTTGTTGAATTCCAGGCTGGCCCACGACGTGAATAGGTTTTGGAGCAGGTTTTAGACTTCTGGAGCGGAATCTTGCGAGCCACCTACGAATACCTTCCCGTGCCTCCTCCGGACTCAAAACGCTTGCAGCAACGTTTACAGCGCAGAAAACCTGTAAATAATAAAGTACTGCAAAGCCAGTAGGTCCAAGGTGTAAAATCGCAAACTAAGTCATGTCTTGCTTGGTCAACGTACCACTAATATGGTAGGTAACAAGAGGATATAATTGAAAATTCTCATTCTGGTCGAACTGACGCAAACTCTCTGGAATAAATATCCTGAGAGAGCAGGCGGTACATAGAGCGGATGATAAAACGACAAACGAAAGAAACTTCTTTGACACAACGACAAAGAAACAAATGATCTTTTTAGTGCAAGGGAAATTACGAGATTGCAAATAGATAACAAAGATAACCTTAATTTCTCTGTTATGAAATTCCTAGGCATTTGCAAGAGAAACGTCGCAAATTATGTCAAAAATAACGCCACATAAAGTTGTGCACAATATATACAGCTCTGTCTTTACTAAAGCTTGCTATTCCACGACATACGTGTCCAAAAAAGGTGTAAACAGTCTGATCGTTGATGGCTTACTAGCTTTCATGCCTTCGTCGAATTTTGGGCATTATTCTGTAGAGCTGGCTTCAACTTAGACTTAGCTCCGCTCGCTCTTCATTAGTGCAGATTAACTGTAGGAACTTCAAGAAGGATTCTAGGACATTGAGCGCCATATTTTGCTTCGCAAAATAAAAGAAACATGCTAACAGCTTCCACGTTAGATTGATCAAAATCGCAAACTTTATATATGGATAGCAATTCACTTAATGCTTGACTAATAAGTAGTATTCTCTCGTAACAATTATATTTCCAATTCAGAATGCGATCGAACTCTAGAGACGCTCAGCAAACTCGAAAATGTGTAGTGAAGTTAGCAAGCGTAGAAACTCTGCTAGGCAGTTTTCCAGACTTTTAAGAAAATTTTGGCATTTTTCACAGTGATTCTATCAGGTTTGTCCCAAAACTACCATTTTCAGATAACTTGAGCTGTTTTTGTTTTTCTAGGAGACTCAGAGTACCATTCGAGAGAGCGAAGCAAGCTCCACAAAAAGGCCACCAAAGATACAGAGCGAAGCAAGCTCCACAAAAAGGCCACCAAAGATACACTTAAGTCGTAATTCAGATAAAATTTGGAGTCAAAACCCAAAATTTTTTAGCTACCCTAAAAATCAGATCTCCTTACGGAAAGTTTCTATGGACTTCCAACTTGGTCTCTATATAATAGACACATAGTAGTACCCAAAGATGTATTTGGTGGATTTTTTCCGGGGCTCAAAATTGAGAAACAAAAATAGTGTGAAAATGCCAAAATGCTCTTTTTGAGTTTTTTTATGTCAAACCTGGTATTTCTTGACTATAAAAGCGCACAAACGTTTTGAGATTATACTAATTAAGGCTTGTAGTAAACAATGACCTATGTGGGAGAGGCTGGGGGGGAGGGGGTACCACTTTCGAAGTATCTTTTTTCTCGCCTTTTGTGCGCAGTAAAAGTCCAGTTAAGACATATTTAAGACTACTTACCAATCTCTACTGCAAAGCACGGTTCTTTGTACCCTCTAAACTGCCACGTTATAGGCTGTTATCATTAGCAGTGTTGATAGCGAAAGATTACAAAGAACAACTTGCAGAAGAAGTTGATCAAGTTCACCAACGTGTTCAGATGTCTGCATATGTCTCCGCCCAACGTACACCGGTGAGGACACGATAGTAAGATTGACTAAAGTGTAGTGTGAAAGTGCGAAAGTGAATGAAAAACTCTTCAGCTGTTCAATATTTATGAGCATTTGACATCTTTCAACTAAATGACTCCCTCTATATTGAGTAGCCAGTTATTTTTAAAATGCGGACACCTTTGGTAAAATCTATACCATTGAGTTTGTTCCACACGTGATACCTATGTCTGCCGTTTCTTCAGTTCGCGAAAGATACTGTGGGTTACAGAGACCATTTAAAGTGAGATGTTATGATAAATCTCATGTTTTCGTAAAAACGCTTCCGTCAAGATATTAGGTTTGCCCGAAAATGTGTAGCAACATTCTCAAAAATTTAAAGCCTCTTACATTCTGAAGCATTTGCTTTCGTAAAATTTTGAACTCGTCTAAAAAAGATAATCATGCGTTTTACAAAAACATTTGAGGTACTTTCTAACTCGCAAACACCTCAATGATAGAAGGTAACGAATAGAATTTGTAGAGTTGCCAGAAATGTAGATCAAGGCCCGAACGAAGGTGGCAAATAGTCCTCTGTGAAGGATTACGCCTTTGCCGCTTTGATTTTACAATTTTTCCCTTGATCGCATCAAATGCGCAGGCTATTTGATTGAATTGCGTTTTCCTCAAAAGCCGGGACTCGTTTGTTCTTTCGGAATCTGCAAAGAGAAGACGAGAAGCTGAAGAGGAAGTCGCTTCAATGATCATTCAAGTATCAGAATCTTGCGTTACATACAAAAACTTTTGTACTGCAATCTGCAAGCTTTCAAAGTATTTACCTCGACTCTGCATGAAGCAAAGCTAAATTCATTAGAGGATTGTGAAGTTCACAAGTGAGTGCCTCTGTGCTGGCCAAGAACAAAGTAGTAGGATTGTAAAAAGAGAGAAATTTATTGTTAACTCTCAAATTTATAACATAAATGCACCTCTCAAATAAAGGCTGTATTAGGATACAAGAAAAGAAAAAGTCAACATTCCTGTTTTATCACAATATTTTTTCTCAGCATTGTATGAGCAGCTGCAAAATAGGGCCATGCTATGTTGGCTGTAATGACTTCTGCTGAGGGCTTAGCTCTTTGACCGTAATAGGAATATTGTGGAAGGCAAGCCCTACAACATTTGAAGCGAGAAATCGAGAAAGTAAGACCGACCACACACAATTTCCTTCTATACAATTACAATTAAAGTCCTGTATCAGTCATATGCGAGTACTTCTTTTAATCGCTTATATGTAATCAGATTTGAAATGAGATGGAAAATTCCTTGACTGTTAATATAATGAAAAAACTTTTGTTGATCCTTGAACCAAGTCCGCAATTCGTGACAAGTGTGCCCGTTGCTTGTGAGTAAGTGTGTCGAATGACAATTCTATGATGCTTTCGGAGCTTTCAGATGATTTTGCCAATCGACATGGAGGAAGTCTTTGTTTCATCAAACAAACAATCACCCCATTTGCATTGCCATTAAATGAATTTTGCAGTGCTCAAAATCGAATGGTATTTTTATGAAAATGACGCACAAGATAATTTTTTCAACGAAAGTTAGATGTCAGAAAATCGTATGTTTTCCAATTAAAGTATCGCAAATGCAAGTACTTACTTCGCTCATGACTTGATGAATGAACGCCCAAAACTCATTCCTCTCCGGAATTCGTGGCTTTTTTGATGACATGCTTTGAATTTATGTTCAAACATGTAAATACAAGAACACGCTATGATTGCATGATGCTTGTTTTGAACTCACACCAAAAATGGAAAAAAATTTGGTTCTGCTCTACAAAAGTGAGTACTAACTCTAGTACTCATAGTTTTCATTTCTTTAGGGCCATTAGATCACATGCCTTTCTGGGTGCTTCATGATTCGTAGTTCCATTCTGCTCATATTCATCTAAATATGATATTCGGTTATGGCAAATGTTTGTTAACGTTTTTCAGCCAGATTTTTAGCCGATTATGATTTCTGAAGTGAGCCTTTGATTTGATGACAATTCTTTTATCTAGAGAAGCTAAGTGATGTTTTTCAGTGATGAAAAAACATAATTATCAGATCATCTGTTCAGTGTCATTGAAAATCATTTACAGCAAGCTCCTTAGCGATTGCTAATAGATTGCATCAAAAATTTGCTTCAATGACGTCTTAATCATTTTTGTTTCTCTACTTATAGGACAAAGTATGGTGTGCCTCCAATCCATTGTATCACTTTAAAATGCACTAATCACATCATTTGATTGCGCTCTTACAATCGCCCCGTGACCTCAATTTGCAAATGAAACAGTAAGCGCTAATTACTGCATACTCACTCAAGTGCATAGATGCAAATTCTTAAAAACTGTGGGTAGGCAATGTGTATTCTTTGCGGGAATTCCGCGATATTAACGCAGTACTTTATACCTATTTCTAAGTTTCAAAGGACGAAAAAGCTTGTTTCTTCAATGCTCGTTGTTCCCTTATCTTTATCTTTATCTTTATCTTTATCTTTATCTTTATCTCATACACGTAAACTTGTGCCAAAGCCTATGTGAGTAACGAAAGATTTCTAGAGTAAGAGACTAGCCTGTCACCTTTCACCAAACAAACAAACAGCGAATAAGGGCTTCACGTGTTGAGAATAACTTTTATTTGTTCAAGGCAGGTCAGGTTGGCATTGAAGAGTGCCATTTTATGGGCTGTCCAAAACCCTGTGATTGGTTCCTGCCAGGTCCACCAACCTGACACTACCGACGCTTGAAAAATCTTTCTTATTCTGGGAAAGCCATGCATATACCTTCGATACATAGAGCCACATACTCTGGTGACCTTCACTTTGAGCGTCATGATAGAACACAACCTTCACCTAAAGGGAAGTCATCCGGGGCGAAGCCCCGGGTATCATGGCATAACTAATGACATATCCATATAGGGAGAGATGGGAATGAGGTAAATATAGTAGTGACATCCAAAAGAAGCTCAAAAAACCGAAGGATTACGTTTTTATGGCCCTTTTTTGCCAAAAAGACTTTTATTCAAAAATTCAATGAGGAACTGGAGCAAGATTTCTCAATTAATCTTTCTCTAGACTTCGATTGAGCGTTGGAAGTTCATGAAAGCTGCCGGAGTTCAATAGAAACGAGAAACTGCGCTCAAATCTTGCGCAGAGAGTCGCTACTTAAATGCTGGTCTATCTCGTTATGGAGTGATTTTCAAGACCCGCGACGTTGTCAGCGCTCCTGGACGTCTCATGAGGATCACAACAATATATAATGTTACAGGGCTTCGTTATGATCCCACGGAGATCAATGACCAGAGCCAAATGCCCCGCCGGCTCTGGTCTGTCTCCGCTGCTCGTCTGCGTCTCCGCGACTTGCGCGCTACCTCGCTACCCCAAAAGCGGGGCGCGGGGCATTTGGCTCTGGTACCCTTTTCTTCGTTGTTGGGAGCCCAATTTCGACGATCTATATATCATATTAAAGCTCTTGATCTCTATTTTCACGCTGACAATGTCGCAAGACTCCTTTTTATGG